TCTTCCTCTCCCGGATCTTAGCCATCTTATAGATGTCCCTTTCACCTTCCTTCGTGCCTAACCGTTGGTAGAGGTCCTCATATGCCCGACCCCTTGCTTCACCAACAGCTCGCTTTGCGGCCTTCTTCGCCATCTTGTACTTCTCTATGTTGTCTGCACTCCTATCCAGGTATAGGCGTCTGAAGCAATCTTTCTTCTCTTTAAGCGCCTTCTGGACATCATCATTCCACCACCAGGTATCCTTATCTTCGCTTCTCCTTCCCCTGGACACTCCAAACTCCTCCGAGGCCACCTTACGAATGCAAGTCGCCATCTTCATCCACACATTGTCCGCATCCCCTCCTTCCTCCCAAGGGCCCTCCTTAAATACCCTCTCCTTGAACACCTGAGCTACCTCCCCCTTGAGCTTCCACCACTTCGTTCTAGCGACATTGGCACGCTTATCCCGCTGGACACGAATCCAAAAGCGGAAGTCAGCAACCACCAGCTTATGCTGGGGTACAACACTCTCCCCAGGTATCACCTTACAGTCTAGGCACGCACGCCTATCTTCTCTTCTCGAGAGGATGAAATCAATCTGGCTAGAGTGTTGGCCACTACTAAAAGTCACCAGATGTGATTCTCTCTTTCTAAAGAGGGTGTTAGCTACAATCATGTTGTAGGCTAGAGCAAAGCTTAAGACATCTTCTCCTTCTTGATTCCTGATGCCATAGCCAAAGCCCCCATCCGCCCCTTCAAAACCTGTGTTAGATGTACCCACGTGGCCATTGAGGTCTCCTCCTATGAAGAGCTTCTCACCAATCGGTACACTCCTAACCATGTCTTCCAAGCCTTCCCAGAACTCCCTCTTGGTGTTCTCATTGTGGCCTACTTGCGGGGCATATGCGCTGATAACATTGAGAACCAAGTCCTCAGCTACCAGCTTGACCAGGATAATCCGGTCCCCACGTCTCCTGACGTCTACCACTCCATACTTGAGGCTCTTGTTGATCAAGATGCCTACGCCATTTCTGTTTGCAGCCGTCCCCGTGTACCACAGCTTGAAGCCGGTATCCTCCACCTCCTTCGCCTTCTGTCCTCTCCATTTGGTTTCTTGGACGCAAAGGCTATCAACACCTCTCCTCACTGCTGCATCAACTAGCTCCCGAAGCTTCCCTGTCAGAGACCCTACGTTCCAGCTACCTAAGCGAATCCTCCTAGGCTCGGCTAGCTTCCTTACCCTTCGCACTCGTCGAGTCAAATGCGAAGACCCTTGCTCATTTTCCACTACATCCGGGCGCCGATGTAGCACGCCACTAAGGATGCGACGACCCGATCCTCGCTCACTTGCCATCGTATCCGGATCAATATACGGCGCGCCACTTGGGGGGTGACGGCCCGGCCCTTGCCCATTTTCCACCACACCCGGGTTCCGATGTGGCGCGTCGCTGAGAGGGTTACGCCCCAACGAAAATCTTTTGGGTTTCATCTCCATAAGAGTTGCTGAGTTTTTACGTTGGCTCGCCAAGCCTATCACAACCCTCCTCCTTTACCCGGGCTTGGGACCGGCTATGTTGAGACAAGTACATATTCACATCCTCGACAGTGTTAAATGCTGACATTGTACCTAGATCTGTATCACTTGTTTGAATGATTACTGTTTTTGTTTGGAAGGTAGTTTGAATGGTTTGTTCACTACATTCAGTGCAAGATGTTTTTGTTTTAGTTGCCTTCTGCTGATCTTTCATCTTTGTTGCAGGATCTCTGAAAACTTAACTTGTGTGTGTTGTTGTTGTTGCTTACACATCGACAACCTTTGGCGTAGTTGCATTTGGAATCGATTCGTTTGGTGTGTCTGGCTTGTATATGAGCTCACAAGTCTCCACATCGCGGGGTTTACATCCCCCAGAGAAAATTATGACGTACGAGTCCCCTCACACATGGCCACTGTCGGTACCTATGAGCAAGGCTGAGGCAGGTAGCAGCGATGATCAGGAGGTTAGGCTGTTGTCGGTTTCTTGGAATCAGGATTGTGGTTGCTTCGCTGCTGGCACAAGTAATGGCTTTAGAATCTTTAACTGCGACCCTTTTAAGGAGACTTTCAGGAGGGATCTGAAGAGTGGTGGGTTTGGGATAGTTGAGATGCTGTTCCGCTGCAACATCCTTGCTCTTGTAGGTGGCGGCTCCAATATGCATTATCCGCCCAACAAGGTGATGATCTGGGATGATCACCAGAGCCGTTGTATTGGGGAGTTTACCTTCCGCTCTGATGTCCGGGCTGTAAAATTGGGGAAAGATAACATTGTGATTGTCCTTGAGACAAAGATATATGTTTATAACTTTACGGATTTGAAGATGCTCCATCAGATAGAGACCCTGCCAAATCCTAAAGGACTGTGCTGTCTCTCTCATCATTCCAATACTTCAGTGCTGGCCTGTCCTGGGCTCAGTCAGGGAAATGTTCGGGTAGAGCATTTTGGGCTAAAGGTGACAAAGATGATTACAGCCCATGATTCACACATTTCTTGCATGGCCTTGACCATGGATGGTCTCTTGCTGGCAACGGCTAGTATGAAGGGTACTCTAATCAGAATATTTAACACAATGGATGGCACACGCCTGCAAGAGGTGAGTAATATTTCAATCTCACTTTGATGATATCCCATCCTTTTGCAAATAAATAGCAGACATATTTATCTCCATACCTCACAGGTCTTCTTTTAGCTGTCTCCACAAGTCTTTCTGTAGTATATGTAATTTGTTGATGGTTAGCATGGGCATGTAACTATCTTTATGTTTAAATGGTATGCAGGTGCGCAGAGGTCTTGATAAAGCCGAGATATACAGCATTGCACTGTCACCAAATGTGCAATGGTTGGCAGTGTCCAGCGACAAAGGAACGGTTCATATATTCAGTCTAAAAGTCAGGGTTGCGGGTGAAGATTCAAGTAATGATCAGCGTACCCTTGAAGCTCCACGGATGGATCACCAGAATTCTTCTACCTCTATGGATCCTCTTATACAAACAAACACCGGATCCAATGCAAGCTCATCACTGTCTTTCATGAAAGGTTAGAATGGCACTTCTGCTCACACTATTTGATTGCTCATCTGGTCTTGAGAGTTCTGTGTAGCTTTTGGCATAATGAAGGGCTAATTTAACAAAAACTTACATATGGTGTACTCCATTTGCCTAATGCTCATTACAATTAGCAATTCACAGAGGACTAATGGATGCACAATATTCTGCAATTTTGCATGCTGCTTATGAATGAATGTGATGAATAGTCTAGTTAATGCGGAAAAGTTAGCTCAAGATAGAATAATTAACATAATTGTCAATTTCGTAAAATGATGTTTACTAAGTAGTGATCTCAAGACATTAAACAGGCAAACTGCTGCTCTGCTATTGCTATGAGAGAAAAAATAAATTAAACAAAGCCCAATTCTAGCAGCAAGGGGCCAGGATCACATGTTTCACTTATCATTTGTTATGTACTCGTGATTCTCTTCATAACCAGTTGGATCAGTTTGTATGCATGTTCAGAATAATGGGTTGGCATCCCAGAGAATTCAGTTAGTCAAGGCATTAACATATCCTTTGCTTCATTTCTCTAGGGATTCTGCCGAAGTACTTCAGCTCAGAGTGGTCATTTGCTCAGTTCCATTTACCGGAAGTCACACGTTACATCGTAGCTTTCGGTGCTCAAAACACTGTAATGATGGTTGGCCTGGATGGCAGGTACTCATCAGTCACCTCGATTGGTTAAACATTTATTGCAAGATTTATCATTTCAGCAAATGTATACATACATGTATGGTGTTTCTTGTTTGCCATATACCTGTAGTCCTGTAGAACATACTCCCTCCGTCCCAAAATTCTTGTCTTGGATTTGTCCAAATACGGATGTATCTAGTTACGTTTTAGTGTTAGATACATCCGTATCTAGACAAATCTAAGACAAGAATTTTGGGACGGAGGGAGTATATAATTCAGTTAGCCTTTGCTGTCAGTATACGTTCGATTTTCACTTCTGAATGTCCGATCAATCGTTTAATATTTAGCTACAGAAAATTACACCAGTCGGTAGAAAAACAATGAGCGTTCTTGTTACAGGCTAAAGCTGTTTCAGTAGTAGTTGCCTGAGGAGATTTTTCTTCTTCTCTAGCAAGTAGCAAGTCACGGGAAGAGGGCTCCAGGCCCCCGCGTCGCCCCTGGGAGCGACTCGGGTGGCGAAACCCTAGCCGCCACCCAAGCCCCCTCCCTCCCCTCCCTCCCCTCGCCGCCGCCGGAGGATGCCGGCGGGCGAAGCCCACGCCGGTGGACGGCGGCGGCGGGGCCCTTGTTCGCGTGCTCGCGCGCAGGTGTTGGGCGCGCTGGAGCGGCGGGAGCGTGCGGTGGCGCAGCGGACGGCGGTCTGCGCGCAGGGGTGGTCGAGATGGCGCGGTGGAGCTGCCTGGCGACGGCTGGCCGCTGCGGCGAGCGGCAGAGCTGCAGGCGCCCAGATCTGGGCCGCGCGGGCCCGTACTGGCCCGCGTCAACCACTCTGCCCCTGCTCACCCTTCTCCCTCCTCCCACCCCTCCCGGCCGCCGCCAGTGGTCGCTGCTGGGTTGGTGAGCACGCGCGCGGCAACTCCGACGGTTGCTGCGATGCTGTGCCCCGGCGGATCCTGGTGGCGGAGGCTGCGGGCTGGCGCAGCGGCGGCGCGGTGCAGGTGACTGCTGTCGCCTGCTGGACGCGCTCCCGGCGGTGGCCGGCCTGCTGGCGCTGTGCTGGCCGGTGCCCACTTCTGCGACTGTCGACGTTCCTAGGCTTCCCTCCTCCATGTGTGTCTGTCTTCTCCGGCGTTCTCTGCCATGTCCAGTCTGAATCTGCATCTGAGGTCCTTGCTCATGGGTCGGGGCGAAATCCCCGCGCGGCGATAGCCTGCGCTGTCAACGGCGACGCCCGAGGGCGCCGTCACCTCCTTGGAGGCGTTGGCATGACCCTGACCGGGCCTCCTCCTAGAGCACCGGGAGAAATCGTAGGTCCGGCCTCCCGGACTGGGCAGCGGCGGCGTCTCTACGCCGTTACCCTCTTGATGGCGCTGCTTTGGCTGCATGCGGAGTTTGATGCGGCAGATGGTGGCTGGTGATGCATCGCTCTGGTGTCGACGGCTGCACAGGAAGCAGGTCGCAACGTATGCCAGCGCCGGCGCTCCCCAGTTCCTGTCAGGCCCTGCCTTTCACCCGCTGACTCCTAGGCACATGGGTGTGTGGTACGTTGGTCTGGCAAGAGCTGCAATCGTCCCTGGTGGTGTCTTGCAATGGCGGTGATGCTGCCCTGTTGCTCCGAGTCTCTGCGCCTCGCCATCTTTGGCTGGAGGTCTGGCTGGGCGAGGCCTAATGTCGTTGTGTGTTGTAGTTGAGGGCACCTCCTTACCTAGTTGTAGTCGCTTGGTGAGGACGGTCGTGTGTGTGTGTGTGTGTGTGTGTGTGTGTGTGAGTGTCCCTCCTTCCTGGAGGTTGTACCCCCGATGTCTTCCTGTTCAATGCAATGAAACGCAAACTCTTTTGCGTTTTCTCGAAAAAAAAAGTAGCAAGTCACTGTGCTAGCATCTTGCTCTTGTATTTGTTGAAACTCTCACACTAACTAGGTCGACTTTTGTCATTTCCAGCTTCTACAGGTGCATCTTTGACCAAGTAAACGGCGGGCAGATGACGCAGAAGGAATACTCGCGGTTTCTCAAGACTGACTACCCTCCCCTGAGGACATTGACCGCGTAAACCCGCCGCACCGCCTTGACGACATGTACATACTTAGAAGGTTGTGCTCTGTCCATTGTATATAACCGTCCTCCTCCTCGCCGGCAAAGCTCTAGGCCGGTCGCTGGAATAAGGAGCGCCGGGGGTGTCCGGCTGAAACCGCAACCTGCCTGCCCATTTTGCTGCAGATGTCCTCCCATCCAAATTTGCATTGTTTATTCGACTTGTTCTGAACAAGATCGTCCATTGATATGTATGTATGTGTGTATAATCAGGAAGGAATGCAAATATGACCTTTTCTGCAACCAGCAATGAAACAGTCGCCATCAGACATTCTCTTGCCAATGCATAGATTATCAGTGTGAGTGCTGCTACCTTGGCGCGCAATGCACTCATGGATCCTGCCCGCCATCTTCTAAAGAAAGCTTATATAGACTCTAAAGAAAGCTCAGAGGACTACTCCCTCTGTTCCTAAATACAAGTCTTTATAGAGATTTAACTATGGACTATATACGGAGCAAAATGAGTGAATTTATATTCTAAAATGCATCTATGTGCATCATATGTGGACCATAGTGAAATCTCTACAAAAGACTTGTATTTAGGAACGGCGGGAGTAGACGCCAATAGCATATATGTGTATGTATTTGGTTTATATATTTAGCTTGGGTTGGTTGGGCGTGGTTTCGTGTGCTTGGCATGTTTGGTCATGTACATACTATAAACTTTTATTGAAAGCAACATGGGACCAGGTGCTCTTGGTCGCTCTCGAAGCCCTGATTGTAAGAGCATCTCCAACAGCCGCACAAAAATCCCGCGCCCAATAAACGTTATAGCACGTCATTGTGGCGTTTTTAAAGCCCCGGGACCAACTTTGGTTTAGCAGGTGCCCAAAAACGCGCGACTAAAAAGCAGACAGTGCAAATTGTGAAGCACACGCAATCCGGCACCCCAAATATATTGCGCGCGATAGCGTTTTTCAGTGCGCGCCTAAAATTTTTTAGCGCTACAGCTTCTGCTGGAGCAGTCCGGCGCCCAAAAAAACAAACTTTTAATGCGTAGAGTTCTTTTTGTGCGCGTGTTGAAGATGCTCTAAAATGCCATTCAGGACCGCAGGGCAGTCCGTCTCTGTCGTGTCCATTCCCAGTGGTTGCGCGTCTCTGATCTGATCTCGTGTCGTCGTCCTCCTGATGTGCCCATCTCATCATACCATCATACGTGTATTTCCTCTTCTTTGTCTGTGCAAACTATTTATTCCAGCGCGGATGACTCGTCGCTGTAAAGTGTAGACGAAGGAGACAAAGATTTGAGCAACACGCAGCGTGTGGTTTTAGGGCCATTTGTCATGCAATTGTTTCGCCCTAATGATTTGGGTAATCCGGCCGGAGTTTCAGCGCGTAAAAAAAGGCACCGCTTGGAACGCATGAACGGAGGAGGGAACCAACGAACTTATATTGTACTAGGAGTGATGTCATTGGATTCGCGGAAAACATTTGCAGCATGTTTGGGTTGATGTTTTGTTTTTGCAAAGTTGCCATCGATCCGCTGCGCCGTTCGGCATAAATTTAGTTTATCTCTATGTTTGAGTTGGAATGAATTTAGTTTATTTATTAAATAAATGAAGCCTTTCAAAGAATTGGATTTCCCGGGGATTCTCTTGTTTCTCCCAGGGCCTAAACGTGCCTACAAATGGCAGCCGGATGCAGCCTAGTCACACTTGTCTGATTCGTTGACTTCTTCGGCTCCAGACGAGGCAATCAGCCATGTGATTCGTGACGTAGTACAAGCACAACCGACACAAAGAAGATACTAATATCTTCAAATAATAATGGCCATGATGGTGATGATGATAAGGGCATTAATTTGTTCTAAGCTACTCAATACCGTTTTCATCTCATGGTATTCTTTTTTCCGAGGGATATACACGGTATTCTTTTTTTTTTTTTGCGAAAAACTTCCGATCTATTTATCTTCAATCATGGCAGTATAATGAACACCAGAAATAATAAAAATTACATCCAGGTCCGTAGACCACCTAACGACGACTACAAGCACTGAAGCGAGCCGAAGGCGCGCCGCTGTCATCGCCCCTCCCTCGCCGGAGTGGGGCACAACTTGTTGTAGTAGACAGTCGGGAAGTCGCCGTGCTAAGGCCCCATAGGACTGGCGCACCAGAATAGCAACCGTCGCCGATGAAGAATAACGTAGATCGAAAGGATCCAATCCGAAGACACACAAACATAGACAAAAAATAACCAGATCCGAGCAGATCCACCGAGGATATATCCCTCGGAGACACACCTCCACACGCCCACCAACGATGCTAGACGCACAACTAGAACGGGGGCTAGGCGAGGAGACCTTTATTCCATCTTCAGGAAGCCGCCGCCGCCTCGTCTTCCTGAACAGGACACAAACCCTAACAAATCTGAAAGGAACGACTAACAACGGAGCCCTCTCGCCGGCCCTTGCTAGGATCCACCTCGCCTCCATGCCCCTAGGGCCACCGGAGGCGAGGCAGACCTGCAGCGGAGCCGGCTGATACGTCCATTTTGCATCATGCTTTTATATCAATATTTATTGCATTATGGGCTGTTATTACACGTTATGTCATAATACTTATGGCTATTCTCTCTTATTTTACAAGGTTTACCATGAAGAGGGGGAATGCCGGGAGCTGGGATTCTGCCTGGAAAAGGAGCAAATATTGGAAACCTATTCTGCACAGCTCCAAAAGTCCCGTAACTCCACGAAAGTTACTTTTGGATTTAATAAGAAATTATGAGCAAAGAAAATACCTGAGGGGGCCCACACCCTGGTCAGGAGGGTGGGGACGCCCCCCCTACTGGGCGCGCCCTCTGTCTCCTGGCCCCCCTGGTGGCCCTTCGGTGCCCATCTTCTGCTATATGAGGTCTTTTACCCTGGAAAAAATCATAAGGAAGCTCACGGGACGAAACTCCGCCGCCACGAGGCGGAACCTTGGCGGAACCAATCTAGGGCTCCGGCAGAGTTGTTCTGCCGGGGAAACTTCCCTCCGGGAGGGGGAAATCATCACCATGATCATCACCAACGATCCTCTCATCGGGAGGGGGTCAATCTCCATCAACATCTTCACCAGCACCATCTCCTCTCCAAACCCTAGTTCATCTCTTGTATCCAATCTTGTATCAAAACCACAAATTGGTACCTGTGGGTTGCTAGTAGTGTTGATTACTCCTTGTAGTTGATGCTAATTGGTTTACTTGGTGGAAGATCATATGTTCAGATCCTTTATGCACATTAATACTCCTCTGATTATGAACATGAATATGCTTTGTAAGTAGTTCCGTTTGTTCCCGAGGACATGGGTGAAGTCTTGCTATTAGTAGTCATGTGAATTTGATATTCGTTCGATATTTTAATGAGATGTATGTTGTCTCTCCTCTAGTGGTGTTATGTGAACGTCGACTACATGACACTTCACCATTATTTGGGCCTAAATGAAGGCATTGGAAAGTAATAAGTAGATGATGGGTTGCTAGAGTGACAGAAGCTTAAACCCTAGTTTATGCGTTGCTTCGTAAGGGGCTGATTTGGATCCATACGTTTCATGCTATGGTAAGGTTTACCTTAATACTTCTTTTGTAGTTGTGGATGCTTGCAATAGGGGTTAATCATAAGTGGGATGCTTGTTCAAGTAAGGGCAGTACCCAAGCACCGGTCCACCCACATATCAAATTATCAAAGTACCGAACGCGAACCATATGAGTGTGATGAAACTAGCTTGATGATAATTCCCATGTGTCCTCGGGAGCACTTTTATCATTATAAGAAATTGTCCAGGCTTGTCCATTGCTACAAAAAGGATTGGGCCACCTTGCTGCACCTTATTTACTTTCATTGCTTGTTACCCGTTACAAATTATCTTATCACAAAACTATCCATTACCTACAATTTCAGTGCTTGCAGAGAATACCTTACTGAAAATCGCTTGTCATTTCCTTTTGCTCCTCGTTGGGTTCGACACTCTTACTTATCGAAAGGACTACGATATATCCCCTATACTTGTGGGTCATCAAGACTCTTTTCTGGCGCCGTTGCCGGGGAGTAAAGCGCCTTTGGTGAGTGGAACTTGGTAAGGAAACATATATATAGTGTGCTGAAATTTTCTGTCACTTGTTACTATGGAAACTAATCCTTTGAGGGGCTTGTTCGGGGTATCTTCACCCCGACCAGTAGAGCAAAGAGTTGCTCCTCAACCTACTGAACCTACTGAAAATGTTTACTTTGAAATTCCTTAAGGTATGATAGAGAAACTGCTAGCTAATCCCTTTGCAGGAGATGGAACATTGCATTCCGATTTACACCTTATCTTTGTGGATGAAGTTTGTGGATTATTTAAGCTTGCAGGTATTCCCAATGACATTGTTAAGAGGAAGGTTTTCCCTTTATCTTTGAAGGGAGACACATTGACATGGTATAGGCTATGTGACGATACGGGGTCTTGGAATTCTAAACGATTGAACTTGGAATTTCACCAGAAGTTCTATCCTATGCACCTTGTTCACCGTGATCGTAATTACATATATAATTTCTGGCCTCGCGAAGGAGAAAGCATCGCTCAAACTTGGGGGAGGCTTAAGTCAATGTTATATTCATGCCCCAATCATGAGCTCTCAAGAGAAATGATTATTCAAAATTTTTATGCTCGGCTTTCTCTCAATGATCGCACCATGCTCGATACTTCCTGTGCTGGTTCTTATATGCTAAAGACTACTGAATTCAAGTGGGACTTATTGGAAAGAATTAAACACAACTCTGAAGATTGGGGTTCCGACAATGGTAAGGAGTCATGTATAACACCTAAGTTTGATTGTGTTAAATCTTTTATGGATACCAATGCTTTTCGTGGATTTAGCGCTAAATATGGACTTGACTCTGAGATAGTAGCTTCTTTCTATGAATCTTTTGCTGCTCACGTTGATCTCCCTAAGGAGAAGTGGTTTAAATATAATCCTCCCATTGAAGTAAAAGTAGTTGCA